GGAGTTAAACCACGACAGACTGGAACAAATCTGAGTTGCTGAGTTACCTGAACCTCTACATCATTAACACATGTTGGACAAACCTCACACTTTCAGATTCACACTGCCCAGTCACTTGCATTAGAGCTGAAACATTTTAAATGGAAAACAAAGCAAATGCCTTAAGCCAGAGCGGGAGAATCTTCCTCATGGTCACAGAAACCGGTGCCCATGTCGTACCGTAACTGGGAAAATGCATCACTGTAACAGTTGGTGATTTTGGCCCTTCTGGTTGAAAAAACAAGAACATTTGTCAAGACCATTGTTCTCTTTTTCTAAAATGCCAACAAATCACTTGTTTTCTAGCACCCAAAGCAAATCAGCTGGAAGAAAACACTTATGAAATCACCTGGGAACCTTTACAGCCGATGAAAGGAGATTCCATTGTTTACATCCTTCAGCTCGCTGCTGGGAGAGAGTTTGATCAGGTACCTTTTCTTTAACGTAACGAACTTGAGGGTTTTCTCCTCTGAAGAATTGCTGTAACTGAGGTGTCTGTCTCTGAGGGTTCAGATTCTGTGTGGTGATGGTAGCGGCAGGGATACTCTTCGTTTTGGCGGGGGACTCTGTTCACAGTCCCGACTCCCGAGGTGCTTCGTTCAGGTCTCAATTCCCCTCAGCGAGATGAAGTTTGTGAGGGCAGCCTCCAGTGTGGGGTCCTGCCCTTCTGCCCCTTCGCGGCATCGCAGGTTCCCCAGATCCAAGATCACAAAGTTTCCTTTCCCTGCTGACCTTCTCCTTGTACTGTAAAAGCCAACAACGGTGAAGACGAGCGGGAGAGTTACTTCTTCAGAAGTGGGTTAACGCTGGTTGATCCTCTTCTCCCAGCGTTTCCCGGGGCTCTTCTGAATTCTGCGGCCTGTGGCATCGCTGCCTGTGTTAGTTGTAGACGGCACTTGGGGGGAGCTACATGGAACAACAGCGTGCAGAGCCGTTTGGGTGTATTGTGGGGTTTTTCCGAGCGCCACAGTCCAGGTCTGTCGGCGTGGGGCACAGCAGGAAGCTTTGGGTTAGTCACAAGAAGACGGATCATGAATTCTTCGTAAGTAAAAGCCGAGGGTTTATTAAGTTGGCTTGAAGAGAACGAAGCGGGGTGGTGCCCAGCGCTGCGAAGCCGAACGGGGAGTAGCGTGTGGTGTTTGTAAGAGGGATCCCACGTAAAGTGCTTCTCTCTCTCTCTTCTGACTAGGTATACAAGGGACCAGAGACTTCCTTCCGTCTCACAGGCTTGCAGACAAACTGTGAATACCGGGTCAGAGTCTGCGCTGGCCGTCAGTCCCAAGACTCCACCGGATCGCAGGAACTGTATGGACCGTACAGCCCCAGCACAGCGTTCTCATCTCAGAAACAAGAGCCGGTCCCACCGTGTGCCGATTTGACGACGGAGTTGGCGGAGACTAAGAAGACGTTACGGGAGGAGCGCTTCATCGCCATCGTTCTGCTCTGCGGATTTGCGGTGGTTGCCATCTTATTTGCTGTTGTTATTCAGTACTTTGTAATCAAGTAGACGAGAGCCTATCCAGTACTCAGCTTTTTGTACAGAAGCTATTTCGGGTATTTATGGTTAGTTCTAATTAAACTCCTAGCTGGAAACGTAGAGTTACGTGCGTTTCCACCTTTGCTGCTGGCTAACAGTGAGGCTGGGTTGGCAGATCCTTTCCAAATACTGAACACAGATTTCTTGTAGAAAGGGTAATCCTGGGTCCTCTCGTAATCAGGGTTAGCTGTTGATGAAACAGCGCAACAACTGCCTTACCGTGCGCGCGGGGTGCGTGCACGCTATTCAGAGCGGGGCCCTTTGCCCAGCGAGAGAGAGAGGGCACGGCTAGAACGAGTCCTTTTCCAGTACGGCTAGCGCAGTGGTAGTCGATCCGCAGTGTTTAATCAGGTATTTGTTGTAGTTCGGTGTACGTGAAATACAGCGGCACAAACGCTTCAGCTTAGAGCAGTACTGCGTTGCAGAACGTTGCTAGAGCATACCACATTTAATATCCTGTAGAAGGGAAGCAGAATATTGACTTTGACTTAGTGATATCGCTACTTTACAGTTATTTTTACTATTTCGGATCCAGTAATAATCATTTCAAGCGTTAAGAAGTAGAGGGTGCCAGCGTTTTTAGAATTTGAGAGGCGGCGCTGGTGGCAAGGCGAGCGGGACGTAGGGAGCGTAGAGCAAAGGGGGTCCGTGTGGGACGGCGCAGAACCTTCTGTACCGAACGTTTCCGAACGAAGCGCTTCTGCTGGTGGTGAGCAGCTGTCGGCCCAATCCACATTTCACTCTCAGTGCCTGAGAGAAAAGTAATTTCCTGTGCTTCCGATGAAATCCTCACAGCGGTTTCAGAAAAGCACAGGTATTGTCTTTAAGGAGAAAGAGTGCATTTATGATAAATGTTACACTATTTGGCTCAAACTGAGCAAATGTTTTTTGTACTATTATTAACCTAAAAAGTTCAAACTGCTTTTGGATGCCCTTCTAACTTCACCCGAGTTATCAAATTGTACCCGAGAGAACTCTTTTTAGATAACATTTATACAATGTTTTAAACGACTTGCTATCCCAGCGGTAGCAGCTTCACATTCCGTTGTTTTCTAGATGGGAATGTTCAGCCTGCTATGAACTTTTCTGAAACTTGTCCTGTTTGTCTGGGGGGGATGTTTTTTGGTGGGCACTGTGCACTACATATGACTGTTCCTGTTAAATCTGCTGGCGAGTATCTGCGGAGGAGCCTGGCGGCCGTCGTCTTGCTGTCAAGCGTTGTGAAAGCTGGAACTCGCAGATTTCGACCGCGTTTCAGAACGGGTCTTCCTGACAGCACTCGGAATCCGCCACAGAACGGTAGATTTAGCGTGTTCTTGCAAAGGCCACGGCTACACTTTATATACATCGGAGCAACGCACTCGTATGTGGAATGTTGGATGCGATGGTGCTGCAGGCTGAGTGTTTCCAGTGGTTAATCACTTCAAGGGTCTTTCTCCTCTGGCAGTTGGTGAATAATGTTGCGTTACAGTTTGAGGCATTGTGTTGTGTTTCAGATGTGGAAAACCTAAATTATGGCATAGTATCGCTTAATACTCTTAAAAGTAGATTTATGGTGCAATCTGAAATTAATCTTTTCAAAAAAATGTACTCTTCATTTTGTACTCTATTTATTTTGATTAAAAGTCCTGGAAAAAATGTATGTTTGAATGTATTGTTCTACTTGTAGCAGAACTTTAAGTTAATCATTTATTATACCATAGAAATCTCTCCCTCCACTGCTGGAAAGAGTTTTACACGGATGTTAGTCTTTAGTTTGCGGAAGAGTTTACAGTCTGCCTTCGTTTCTCTTCATAGCCTACTTCTCGCAGGTAAGACTGCCCTCAGCCAGTCGCTGTTGCCAAAGGGTTATTCCTGTAACTCTTCGGACGAGGTTTATTTGGCGGGAATGTTTCTGATCATTTTAAAGGATAAAGTAGGATTGCATAGCGAATACTAACGAGTGGGGACTCCTGAACAGTGAAAGACAGCTCTTTTGTAATTGCCACAAAACAGTCAACGTTTCCGGATAGACCTGCGGGAGAGCCTGCCGCAACGCGGATTTTACGTCAGCTGTTAGCCATTCCAGAACGATATTCCCTCCTGGCATTAATGTATTCGGTATCTTCAGTTTCCTTGTATTGTCATTTCGAGGTATCTCATGTTAAAGCTGCCATGCATCGTATTACTAAATTGTAATTATCAAATAGATAATATATTTAATACAGCCAATAAATAATACAAATGTATTCAAATTTGACGACAGGTTTGCGTGCTTTTTTAATCAGGGAGTCGTTAAGGTTGGGAAAGAGCTTTAAGACCATCAAGTCCAACCACTATCTGGATTTGGGCCTCCCCCGGGCGCAGTCGTGTGCGCAGCGTGTGGTCCGGGTGAAGAAACCCGTGTGGCCTGGTTACCGAGCGTCACCAAGGGCCGCGTTACCTGTGGGCACTTGGTGCAGCCCCCCATCCCCCCCTGAGCTGTCTCAGCCTGGGCACCACGCTGCTGCTTCTGGAACCTTCCCCTGGGAGCGGGAGGGAGTTGCTGAGGGCAAGGCTGGCTCCTGGCCGCAGGGCAGCGATGGGCTCTGGCTGCGGGAAGCTGGGTGCGGTCTGGATCGAGGTCGGAAAATGAGGGAAGGGGCTCAAGGGACCTGAAGGGTCAGGGATCGATGGGTCCTGGGGAAAGAGGCAGAGCTTTTGTAGCCCTACAAAATGAGTCATTAACGCTTCCCTTTTGGGCAGCTCACAGATGGATGCGTGATGTCTGACTGCTGAGAGCAAGCGGCTGGCCTGCCTTCAGCCACCGGGAAAGAGGCAGAGCTTTTGTAGCCCTGCAAAATGAGTCATTTCTTAATGCTTCCCTTTCGGGGAGCTCACAGGTGGAAGTGTGACGTCTGACTGCTGAGAGTAAGCAGCTGGCCTGCCTTCAGCCGCTGCTCATCTCGGTTTCTGTGGGAAGAAAGTCACTTGAGCTACGTTCCACAGGCCTGGGAGAAGATGCCTGCTCCCCTCTGCAGGAGATCTGCGGACAG